CATACTAACAAAGATTATCAATGGTCAGGATTAAAGTGTAGATTTGAAAAAAAAAACACAGTAAAATTGTCAGTAAATCATATAGTTTTCAGTTCCTCCTGCAGCTGTAAAGACACTCTTAAAATTCCTCTGCTGGGTCCCTTCTCGGCACGTGGTTGGTATGTGATCCCCCTTGATGATGTAGTGAATGCCCCTGAGCACCGCGTTCAAGGGTAGGCAACCTACGGCTCCAGATGCGGCTCTTGTCCCTCTTTAGTGGCTCGCTGTGTTTTTGACAAAAAACATATGCATTTATCATTGTTGCTGGCCTAAAGTGATTCTTGCATTCTCCAATTGTAAAAATGTTGTCAACTAAAATTGCATTCTACATTACATCCTGAATAATGATAATAATGATTTAATATATTTTTGATAATAATTGTCATGCTACAATTATTTATTGTTAAGTAAATGCTTAAAACACATTTGCATCATTCTGATTCTTGATACTATGCTATACTATGTCATATTGTATTTGCATCCTCTGGTCTTCATGCCCTCACTTGACATCTGTGTATGTGGTTTTGCTCCAGTTCTTGCTGCCTAAGTGAAATATCAAACTGCAATCAGCTGTGAGATTCCCGTGTTGTTATGGTATGGCCTAGTTTACTCTGTCCCCAGCTTATGAAAGTAAATTTTCCAATGACTTGATGGAAAGGCTGCCGTAACTGGCTCAGGTGTGCGGCTCGCATGAGCTCTCTTGATCATTCAACTTTGAGATATTATAGCCTTTCATCTTTACTACAATTTGAAACACATCCAATTAGAAGGCTACAGCTTTACTGATTATTTCACAAAGCAACTGAAACAAGTGGGTGATAAGATGTAAGTAGCAGCTTGGTGCTTTGAGGAGGCATAGCTGTTTTTTTTTTCTTTTTTTTTCTTTTTGAGTCCATCAATCAGGAAACCGACCTACTGGCTCAAAAGTAACACAGAACTAAAGAGACAGATGACAAACTAAAGCACAGAGCAATCAGACACCAGCCAAAGACAGGCAGGCTTACACAACCTTTAAGTGAAAAATGTTGTACTGTAATATTACTGCAGAATCCACGGTTGGTAGCACAGCAACAATCAGCTGAAAGAAACAGGTCAAGCTCAGCAGCACCGAAGACACAGGCTGTTTAGTTTGTCCTCCACATAAGTTCTGAGAATGTATTACTAATTTATTTCACAATTAATAAGTGAATCTTGAAGAAGTATCACTTCAAACAAAGCCAACCCATGCTAAATTTATGTAATTCAAAGCTCCTTTCCAAGTGAACATGCTTCCAATCTTCTCATCTTTGAACAGTCATATGGTGTTTGTTTGCATGTACATATTTGCTCATCCAAAAAAAGCAAGAAAGCTGGCAGGGTGGCGGAGAAGGTGGACAATGTTGGCACTTAAGCCAGTTGGGAATAGCATATTTCTGTCGTCTCCTTTTGCGTCTTCACACCAGGGGAGTGTGGTCAGTGTTGGGCTATTTACAGCATTGTTAGCACCTTCACATCTCAGCTTTTACCGTTACCAAAACTCAAGAGGGACTGAATCATTCGGTAATATTTATCTTTAACCTATTAATATAATACACTATAAAGAAAAAATGTGAAGAGAATAGCTTTATCATGTGTAATGCACAGATGGTTAGTCAGAAATGTGCTCTCCCTGCACCAGTGCCTTGAATTAGTCCTGCCTCAGTGAAACAGCTCACAGGGACGAAACTCACAACCTGCTCCCCTTCCTCTTTTTCTGCACCATCACTGCTTGTTTCACAAACACAGTGTAATATTTGCCTGCAGAGACTGAGAAAGCACCTTGTTCTGCTACTGTAATGTTAGCTCAGACAACTTAAAGGCGCCATAAAGGTTTTATATTAGTTTTCATGATTTTGTTTGCAGATGAAATATGTCTCAAGATAAGAATAGCCCTGTCAAATAAATGTGTAGTTTTAAAGAGATTGCGGAATAACTTCAACATTTTATTGGCTGGGTCACTTTAAATGTTTTAGACTTACCTGACTGGAGGCATTTTTTGCTGTTGAGGAAGTGATCACCAATATCCTTTTGATGCTGTCATACTGACTCCCAGTTTGTTTCCCCAAAGGAGTTACAATAAAACAAAATGCTCATGATTGCTTGTCTGCACAGGTTTTTCTATGGCGTGCTTTGTTTTAATAATTGTGTTGGCATGAGGAAGTGAGATTCCATTGTTTACCCATTGATAAACTGAAAGGTGATATAAAAGCAATAGATACCGTCAGAGAAGTAGTGTCTGCTAACAAGAAACAACTTCATGATCTGAAGATGAAACACTGAAATCAGTCAACCACGCTGAAGATACATGGTGCATTTAATTGGTGGTTTTGTTATTGTTCCCATGGATAACTCACCATGAATATAGACATCGTGCAAAAATAGAGTTTCATTACAGAAAGAATTCCAGTGATTAAAAGTCACACCTTTATAATTCAATTTAAAATGCTCGCCCACTAGTCAATTCTGTGATTTTACTTCATAAAGATATGTGTACTTTTTCACTTTCCTTTAAAGGCCAGTGGTGAGAGCCAAGTATATATCACTGTGTTTATTTTACACTGTTCATACAATAGTGTTCATACTATATTTAGTGTATTCATTCATGTCTACCCCTTACTGAGGGGTAGACATGAATGAGGTCACCCTTTATAATGTTAATTCATTTACTTATACAGCATAGGTCAGATATAAGCTATTAATAAGAAAAAAATGTTGGTTGTCAGGTTGTGAAAAAATAGTTTAGACTGATTTTATATCCTGTCTATTCTGTAATAATGCAATAATGAATGTTAGTAATCTATTAATATTCATCCTTAATAGCCATCAGATATGAGATTATCAGATTAATGCTAATATGGTCTATATGGTCAGAGGTAAAATTTTGTTGGGGTCTTCCCAATAAGTTAAACATGCCAAAGGGGTTTTTCTTAAGATTTTCTTATTAATGACTTAATTAGCTAGCATTTGGTCAATATTTATGAACTATTAAAAAAAACATTACTTACAGCTTATAACATGTACAGTACACACAAAGAAGAAAATGTGAATCCCTATAATAAATCCCAATATTGTGTCAAAGAGCTCTTGATTCAGCAAATTGTTTGAGGTTGTATTGTGTGTTGTTGTTGTTGTTACTGTTGTTGTATTGGACAACATCACATTCAGATGTGTATCCAATATTGTGTAATGGAGCCCCGTATAACAACAGAAACAGCTTTAATTACCATAAGCTGAATCAGCACCTCTCTGACTGTTGTATTAATGTACAAGGGTTTCCACATTGTCTTCTTTACTCAGTGTGCATCGCAATAACTACCATAATGTCTATTAACCAGTGAAAAGAAGTAATGTCCCTGTTGGAAATTACTTCATGTCTTCAGTTTTATTAACCTTAGTTCATGTATCAAACCATGCATTAAAACATCAGCTGTCATTATCACGGTTGCTTACACAGGAACTGAAATGCCACATGGCAACTGATCAATAAACAGTTTTTTCGTAAGGTCAAACAAACAAGCTCAGTGTGTTTCAAAATGAATTGCAGTTGACTGCTTACGCCATCTCAGGGATTCACGATCCACTCATTCAAGAGCTTTAGTGATTTAACCAACTTTGATTTACCAATGTGTTCTGCGATAAACAGCCCCTACTCAAACAACTGAGAATTGGGATTTTCCTCAACAGCACAAAGCATTGTCTAGTCATAACCCAGCAAGTGTTGCCATAAAGTCAAATGAAAGCATATTCTGAGCCTGTATTAAAGGATCTTTTTTTTTTTTAAATTCTCTGTTTCTAGCTGCCACAAGCTGTTTTCTGCTCTCTGCTCCCCAAATACAAATGTCACATTATGTAACATTAATTCGAAACGCAAAGAATCTTATTCGGTTGCTGCCACTGCTTCAAGAGTCGCTGTAGGCATTTCTGAAGTGGATGGTTTCACTTTCTACCATATTGTTTGGGTGTTGACAAGAATCGTTGAGTCAGAATGAGTGAATATAAACATTACAGTCTAACATTAGGCTATATATATATATATATATATATATATGTAGTATGATGTTAGACTGTAGTATATATACATTACAGTCTAACATCA